GTCAGGCTAGAAGCAGTCTGAGGTAAAGAACAGCCCTACTTACAGGTTTCAACAAGATAAAGGATTGAGCCAGCAAGTTGCTAAGGAAGTGGTCGTGAGCCAATCGGATACTTTCAAAGTCACGGGTAGAGTTGATTTGATGTAGCAGCTGTGAGAACTGAGACTCCAGCACATCTACCTGATGGACAGTTAAACACAAATACTTTCAGTACTTTGCATGTTCTCAGCACTCGGGATGTAAAGATGCCCGACGGTCTGAACTTGAAATTCTTTGCCCCCACTCCTTTCTCCTATTCAAGCCACTTTAAAACTGACAGAAACCCCCTGATGTTGCTTGGCCTTGTAGAACATTATCTGCCTAATGCCTCATAACCTCTAAAGTTCTGGCAGATTCCTCCCGCCACATCCCCTCCAATGGCTGACTTTAGTTAAGTTCTTCTAGACGTTCTAGTGCACTATAGAAAGGTCAAGTCCACACAAGTTAAATCCTGCATTGATGGTAAGAACCCTAAATTCCTCATTCTTCATTTATTCCCACTTTCCTTTAAAATGCTGCAAAGAATCCCTCCCAACCCCACGACAAAACCTATGAATTGTCTCAAACCCCAGCATTTCATCCAATGCAGGATGGCAGTCCCTCTTCTGGAACTGCCGTCAACCGCCCAGGCTTCCGTTCACACCCCTTCCTTCTCTTCATCCCTCGGCACAGACCTGGAGATAGTACTGCAGATTGTCCACCAAGAATGCCATGTGGTTTCTCAGGCGCCACTTGACCGCGTCAGTCTGGTTGGACTTGAGGTGCTTGCGCTGCATCTGGAGGGCCCAGCAGTGCTGCAGCTCAGCCTGCACCCGGCGCACGCTCAGGAGGTACTTGAAGACAACATTGTACCTGCGGCAGACACATCCGTCCGGCTGTTCCAGAGGGGCCTGGACTCCCCACCTCACCTGCGCCACACACCCCAGGGCTTTGGGCCTGCCGCCCCTCCCCCCTCCCCCACAGGGCAGGAAGGAAATGAGAATGGCTAGAGATGGGGATGAACTAATTGTGCTTTAATTGCTATGGTGGACATTACAGAGCTATCAAAGTGAATGCACTTCAGCTCTACAACTCAAGAGTACTCGCAGCAATGTGATTTGAATAAAAAAAAAAATAAATCCCAGATAACATACACTTTTTAAAATGTTTATTTTTGAGGGGCGCCTGGGTGGCTTAGTCGGTTAAGCGTCCGACTTTCGCTTAGGTCATGATCTCACGGTTCGTGGGTTCGAGCCCTACGTCGGGCTCTGTGCTGACTGCCAGCTCAGAGCCTGGAGCCTGTTTCAGTCTGTGACTCCCTCTCTCTCTGACCCTCCCCTGCTCACTCTCTCTCTCTAGAAATAAATTTAAAAAAACCTTAAAAAAAATTAAAAAAAAAAATGTTTATTTTTGAGAGAGGGGAGAGGGCAGAGAGACAGAATCCTACGGAGGCTCTGCACTGTTAACATGGAGCCCAGTGTGAGGCTCAAACCTATGAACTGTGAGAAAACGACCAGAGCTGAAATCAAGAGTTGGATGCTTAACTGACTGAGCCACCCAGGCGCCCCTGATATATTTTTTTATAATGCTTAAAACAACCAACTAGAATAAAACCATACTTTTAGGGAATATATATAAATGTTATAGAACTAAATATAAAAAGGAGAGAAAATGTGAATGAAGGAGAGTAGTCACCTTGGGCTCAGGAAGCCAAGTGAGCGAGACTAGGAACCACCACAGGCAGAAGGACGTTACTATCTGTGTCCCAGTTTTGGTACTGGGAAGCGATTTTATGGTTATGTGTAAAAAGGAAGGTCTTACAGGGACCAATAATAATGTGTTAGGAAACAAGGATTTTGGTTAACCTGACTCTCTGTCCCAAAAAAGAGAGAATATAATAGAAGGCTCCCTAACTGAGCTCTAACTCCTGCCTCGTGGCAAGCTCAGGGGCCAGTTGCCTAATGCTGAGCCTTGCACAAGAAGACACATGCAAAGAAAGGCAGATTCCTAGTGGAATCGGATAAATTTACTTGTTTGTAGGCAGGCTTGCAGAAACCAGTCTGATTTGGTTTTTAAAATCATCTATTTCTGGGACACCTGGGCGGCTCAGTCAGTTAAGCTTCTGCCTTCAGCTCTGGTCATGATCTCATGGTTCACGAGTTCGAGCCCCACCAGGGGCTCTGTGCTGACAGCTTGGGGCCTGGAGCCTGCTTCAGGTTCTGTATCTCCCTCACTCTGCTCCTCCATTGCTCATGCTCTGTCTGTCTGTCTCTCTCTCTCTCTCTCAAAAATAAACACTTAAAATCATCTATTTCTAATGGAACATAGTAAAAATAGTATACCTTGTTTGGATTCTGATTTGAACAAATCCAAACATAAGAAGGCATTTGTTAAAAAAAAAAAAAAAAAAAAAAAGACATTTGGAGGTAACTGTCAAAATTTCAGTGAGAACCAGGTATCAGATAAGGACTTATTGTTAATTTTACTGGGTGTGATAACTGCATTGTAGTTATTCAAAACATGCCTTTTCTGAATTGCAAAGTGATGGAGTGAAATGATGTGTCTGGGATTTGTTTTATAAAGCTTCTAGCAAAAAATAAATAAACAAATAGCATAATGTTGGTGGTTACTGAAGCTGGATAAGGTATGCATGAGAGATTATAGTCCGTACTTTTGTATATATTTGGAAATTTTCATAATAAAAGGTTTTTAAAAAATACATCTGAGATTGATTTCTTCAAGGGTGTTCAGAACCTGATACGTCAGGAAGTCAATGTATTGCTGGCCTGTGCGACATTGGGAGCTGTAGAGACTCTTTGGATAAGGTCCATGTGGCTTCCGTAGGTGCGTTGTGGGCTCTGAACCTGCCACAGAATCTCCCTCAACCGGCCTTGTCTTTGACAGCTCATGCCTGGTCTCTCATACTGCAAGCCTCTCTGCCCCAAAAAGTAGAGAGGGTTGTGAACAGGAGCAGAGAGATGAAGAGAGTCCCTTTTGTTCATTTATTTCCTTTTCTCCATTCATCTAGCCTGAGGGCAATAGCCTCCATCCTCCAACCAGGGCAGGGGCCAGTGCCCTAACCTGTAATAGGATTTGAGAAATTCCTAAAATGCTGTGGGGGTGGATGTCACAGGCCACCACAAGCCAAGCATGCTTCTCCCACCTCCCCCTAGAGTTCTCCATCCTTGGCTTGAGGACATGAAGTCCTGGACAGAGCTGAGCAACAGCACGTGGCAAGCTCTCATGATACATAACAGCTGATCCAAGAGTCTTTCACAACCCTGGTCCAGCTCCTTTATTCCACCCCCAGCTTAGCTCTCTCCACTGCTTCTCCCTGTGGGCATGGAGGTGGTTCCAGTGCATAGCAAACACTTGGGCTTGGAAAGTCTTCCCAAGAAGATCAACAAAATATTACACAAGTTAGGAAACTTGCTAGTCTGATGGAATTAACAGGCCAGATTCTCCATGTGGTGCCCAAGATTGCATCTTCCAAGGAGCACAAACTGGAAGCCTGTAAACTGCTTATCTTGCAACTTAAAAAAACAACAGCAGGGGCACCCAGGTGGCTCAGTAGGTTAAGCGTCCGATTCTTGATTTCCACTCAGGTCATGATCTCAGGGCTCCTGAGTTAGAGCCCCCAATCTGGGCTCTACACTGACAGTGAGGAGCCTGCTTGGGATTCTCTCTTCCCTCTCTCTGTTCCTTCCCCTATCTCCTCTCCCCCCACACACACATTGTGTGTGCAGTCTCTCAAAATAAATAAATAAACTTTAAAGAATAAAAAATTTTTAAAAAGCAGGGCAACCTGTGTTTCGGATTCTGTGTCTCCCTCTCTCTCTGACCCTCTCCTGCTCACGCTGCCTCTCTCTCAGAAATAAAACATTTGGAAAAAAAAAAAAAAAAAAAGCAGGGCAACCTGGTTCAGTCAGTAGAGTATGCAACTCTTGATCTCAGGGTTTTAGGTTCAAGCCCCATGTTGGCTATAGAGATTACCTAAAAAACAAAATCTGAAAAACAAACACCACCACCACCACCACCACCACACTGATGGTTTGAAGAGTTTGACCCTCTCATACATCCTGCGCCCGCCATTCCCTATCGTCTTCTGTCCAGTCCACGAAGACATCTGAGTTTGTAACCCCCGATTTACAGACTGCTTACAACCACCAGCTGAGTGGTTATCTTGCTCCCACCAATCCTATTCCTGTTCATTTTTACCCTTGGAAGTAAGGTAGGTAATATTTGCCCATGAGAAATTCAGAAATACTCACTTTTCCAGAACAGCAGGAGTGAAGAGAATGTGCAGTGGCCACTGCACTTTGTAGGAGAGGCCTAGGGCTGCCCAGCCTGACGCAGGGGCTTCCCGGGGAGAAGTTTCCCGAGAAGGCCCTTCTCTTGCCTGAGCAGCATCTGCTAAGAAGCAAAAAGACAGCTTTGCTAACCTAGAACCAGAGCTTCTGCAAGGTGAGTCACATTCATGAAGTGAGTGGTCACTTGAGCCTGCAAGGTCAGAAGCATAAAGGGGACAAAAAGGGACTTGCAGAAGGCAAGGAAATTCTATGGGAGATTCTCTAGGAGGTCTTCTAGATTCTTTTTTCATCCTTAAAATCTGGTGGCCGGAAATAAAGAAAGCATTCCGGCAGAAGGACGAAAACAAAACAAAAAAAACCATGGCCTGAGCATCCCACTTAGCCGCCCTGGACTTCCCTTTTCTCCTGTATGAAACAGGGCACTGGACAAGGTGACTTCTAAGGTTCAAAATGATACGGTTTCCGTGGAGGTGGACAGAAGCAGAGATGGGAGAACAGACGATGACCAGTAAGAGCAGAAAGATCCAAGAAGGAGCAGCAAACCTTTATGGTCCTTTCCATGATACTCAATCGTCAAGTGCAACAGAGGGAGAAGGTTGTCATCATCCAACAATACCTTATGTGCAGACTGCTGGAAGGCCACGTTCACATCTGCAAGAGAGCACATGCGCTGTCGAGAACACTAGGCTACGTGACAGACCTGGATGCCACCGACTTTCCTCCAGCCTGCTAGACACTAACAGCAGGATGCGGTGGAGACAGGTTGGTTTAGCCTAACTAGCATGCATTCCTCCTGCTGCTAACACCACCCGGTTTTCCCTAGAGAATCACCCCTCCCAGTATTATCTGTGTAGTTCAGTGGGGTTGACAAACCTGATCCTAGGCATAAGCAGGTGACCCAAGCATGATCAAATGGAACATAATTCTCTACCTTGTTACACTATTTTGTTCAGGGATGTGAACATGACTCAAGCCAGGCCAACACAGAGGTTCTATTCAGACTGAAAAAGATTTTTTTTTTTTTTTTTTTTGAGATAAACAAGGCCTTAGCAGGACGTGAGCTTAGCTGGAGGCCGTCTTGCCACCATACGGAGCAGGCCTCTCTGAGAAAAAAGGCAGAGGTGAAAGATGGATTGACACCAAGTCCTGACGTCATCGAGTAAGCCACTGGATCAGACTTTGCCTAAAGCCATCATACTCCGACCTCAGTTATGAGAATAAAGTTTTCTTCTCCTTTGCGGGAGTTTGAATTGGGTTTTCTGATATCTGAGATGAAAAAAGTCTGATGTGGGTAGAGTGGACATCTCATTTTATAGAGTTAGAAAAATGGTAACCATGTTGGTTTTCCATTTTCTTTTTTTGACTCTGATCCTTACCCAACTCTCCCATGTAGTCTGAATGGGAACGGTGAGCATTCCCATTAGTCCAGGCTGAACACTTCACTGAAGGAGGCATATCTTAATGTCTGCCATCTTTTTTAAAAAAATTGTTTTTAATGTTTATTATTTGAGAGAAAGAGACAGAGTGTGAGTAGGGGAGGGGCAGAAAGAGAGGGAGACACAGAATTGGAAGCAGGCTCCAGGGTCCAAGCTGTTAGCAGAGCCCAATACAGGGCTTGAACTCTGAGATCATGACCTGAATTGAAGTCAGCCGCTAAACCAACTAAGCCATCCAGGTGCCCCATTAATGTCTGCCATCTCTGCTGCAGAGGTATGTATATAACCTGGACTGGGCTTATCAAAACCCTTTCCTGGAGGGGCATCTGGGTGGCTCAGTCGGTTAAGCCTCTGACTTGAGGCTCAGGTCATGATCTCTTGTTCATGGGTTTGAGCCTTGCGCCAGGCTCTCTGCTGACAGCTCAGAGCCTGGAGCCTGCTTTGGAATTCTGTCTCCCTCTCTTTCTGCCCCCTCCCCTGCTCTCCTCGGTCTCTCTCTCAAAAGTAAATAAACATTAAAACAAAACAAAAAAAAGACCCTTTCCTGGAATCTTTTCATTTGCTCCAGAGAGACTGGATCTGGCTCCTCCACTAGACACCGTGAGGTAGTTCCTGGGAACTGTTGCCATGTTTCCAAATGGGACTGGAAAGCCATCAAAGAGCATGAAAGAGGTGCAGACAAATATGTTAAAGAGAATTCTAACCATATTCATGTCCCTAGTTTCAGTTGTTCTGAGGCTGAGCTATATTCCTATCTCACTGGAGTTATAGATACAGTAGCAAATAAATTCTTCTTTTCTACTTGGGTTAGTTCAGTTTCAATTTAAGTTCCATCATTCACAACCTAAAGATTTCTAACACAAGTGGCATTAAGTCCCAGTATGTCCCATAAGGAAGGTAGGACTATAATCTGATAAAATATCTGATTTGCACCCACTCTTCCAGGAAGGGTCAAGAGGCTACTCCCAATGACCTGCGTGTCCAGCCCACCTGAAGGGCCTTCCATCTTGGGAAACATGGCTCCGTAACTCATCAGGCTGCTCTTATGTGGAACAGACTAACCAGGTCAGTAGCAGTCAAGAGAAACCCTACAACTGCAATAAAGTGGTCATTCTCAGGCCCACAGGCCAATTACCATGTTCAGTTACTGCAGTGGGTGGTGTTTTTAACATGTGTTGAGCTGTGTCAATGAAGGCCTGGAACAGTTCTCCACGTCCCAGAAGGTAAAAATCTTTAATGATCTGTGGAAAGAATTCCAATTTATAATTCAGTAATGCAGCACGGCCAGGAGCTCCTCACTAGCCCAATTACACAGAAAGTTTCCAATCTCATAGTGTGAGCCCAGCCCAAAAAAGATACAGGCTTTTGGCATTTCAAAGGGACATACTTAGCAACCGCTCAAGGCAGGGCAATGGGTGGGTCTTTGGTATCATTTATCCAGTGACAACACAATACTGTGCCAGAAGAAAGTAAACACCAAACCTTTGTACTCCAGACATTTGTAATATTAGGTAGAGTTTGTGTCCTTGGACGAGGACCTGTGAGGCCACTCAGGAAGTCTGGGTACAGGTCACTGCTGCTCTCAAGACAGCCTAGAGAATAAGTCACTGCCCACCAGCATCATTTCAAGAGTTTAAAGGCAGCTAAGCTATTACCTTCAGCTGACCCAGTAAATCTGACTCTTCCACCATCAGCTTCCAGAGATGCTGTGGAAAAAAAAATACAATAGGGGTAAAATTTCATTCTAGCGAAAACTTCTACAAAGAATGATTTTGTACAGGGGTGCCTAGGTGACTCAGTTGGTTAAGTGTTTGACTCTTGATTTCGGCTCAGGTCATGATCTCAGGTTTGTGGGTTTGAGCCCTGACTTGGGATTCTCTCTCTCCGTCTCTGCCCCTCCCCCACTCATCTGCGCACACTCTTAAAATAAATAAATGTTTAAAAAAAGGAATAAACTATTGATACATGCAACATGGATTAATCTCAAAATAATCATGAGAAAAGCAGCCTGACCCACCTCTTCCCCCTAAAGAGTATGTATTGTTTGACTCCATTGTTATAAATTCTAGAAAATGCAAACTAATCTATGGTGACAGAAAGTAGTTCAGTGGCTGCTTGGGGGCCAGGAGGGTAAAAAGTGTTGAAAATAAAGGATGGAAGAAGATACAGGTAAGTAATGAAAGTTGGGTAATGAACTTAACTAATAAAATAGAATTTAAGTAAAAAAAAAAAAAAAAGTATATGTATTTGGGGTGCCCAGGTGGCTCAGTCAGTCGGGGGTCTGACTTCAGCTTAGGTCATGATCTCGCGGTCTGTAGGTTTGAGTCCCATGTCAGGCGCTGTGTTGACAGCTCGGAGCCTGGAGCCTGCTTTGGATTCTTTGTCTCCCTCTCTCTCTGCCCCTCCCCAGCTTGTGCTTTGTCGGTCTTGCTCTCAAAAAGAAATAAAACATTAAAAAAATATATATTTATATATACATATTTAAGGGGTGCCTCGCTGGCTCAGTCAGTTAAGCTCCTAATTCTTGATTTCAGCTTAGGTCTTGATACCTCAGGGTCATGAGTTGGTCTCCACGCTGGGCGTGGCACGTACTTAAAAAAAAAAAAAAAAGGTATATATTTATATATATATATATTAAAAATATATATCATAAGTGATAGAGAATATTACATACACATAAAAGGAAAAACAATAAATAAATATATATTCATTAGAAATAGGCACACACCTAACACAATGCCTGGAAATGAGGCATTGGAACATGCATAGAACTCTAGACTCACAGACTATACACTTGCTGAGCACATGCAGAATTAAAAACTAAAAATAAAAATGGGCCCTACATCAATCCATAAAGGAAGCCTCATTCAACTCCAAAGGACCGATCTATAGACATATGTTTTCCAACTATACTGCAATAAAAATCAAAGCTGAATAAATAGCTGAGGTTAAAAAGAAAATCAGAAATTATTTAAGAGTGCTTCCTTCAGCAGCACATACACTAAAGCTGGAATGACAGGTAAGATTAGCAAGGTCCCTGTGCAAGGATGACATGCAAATTCATGAAGCATTCCATATTTTTCTCAAAATAAACTTAAAAAAATCATTTAGAACAGGATGATAATGGATACACTCCATGCAGAAAAACTTGTGAGACACAGTCAAAGCAATATGGAAAGCTTTATGTAATAGACTTCCTAGGATATAGGGGTTACAAATAGAAAATCAAGGTTTCAACCCTGGAAATTGGTAGTGAGTAACAGAAAACTTAAAAAAAAAAAAAAAAGAAAAGAAAAAATTAAAAACAGGGATCAATGAGATAGAGGAAAAAAGAAGGTAATAAAAACAAAAGCTGGTTCTTTGAAAAGATTAGCAGGACTCAACAGTAAAAGATTAAAAGAAAATACAAAGCAAAACATATAGTTACAGACAGAGTTTCTAAAAACTTAAATGGAGATGAAATGGGTCTTTCTAGAAAAGTAGAAAATACCAAAATTGGTATGAGAAATCATGATCCTGAACAGATTAACATAGATTTAAATTCATTCAATTGGTAAAGATTTCCCCTTGTTAAACAACTAGCTTAGATAAGTTTTCAGGTAAGTTCAATGAAACGTTCAGTAACAACTCCTGTCTTATATTAATTGTTCTAGAAAACAGAAAACAGTGATAGAGACCTTGCTCATTTCCTGAGGTTTCTACATTCTTTATTCCATAACCACATGAGAACAAAACAGGGAAAGTCTAATTTCACTAGTAAACGTAGATGCAAAAATTCCAAGTGCTGTATTGGCTAACCGAATCCTACAGTGTATTAAAAAAATAAAATGTTCAAGTACACTTTATCTCAGGAAGATTCAACATCTGAAAATGTAATCCAGAATTTACCATATGAGTAGACTAAAGGAAAAAAGGACTCTGAGCAAGAAACTGCACCATAGTTGACCTAGAAAATGCAGCTGATAAAATTCATTATCTATTTAGGAATAAAACTCATAGCAAATTAAGAAGAAGAAACTTATGTGCCAAAGGCCTTCAGCAAACATTAGCGTAAGAGAGAAACTGAAGGTTCATGACCTTTAAGAGCCAACATACTGAAAATGCTCATCATTGCCTTTACCAGCATTGCCTGCACAATTTATATCAACTGTCACTTGAGCTGTTTTAGTATTAGAAATCCAAGAGTGTAAGAAAAAAAAAAACGAAATCAAAAGTCTAAAACTGGAAGTAAATCTTACTTGCAAATGCTACCATCATGACTTAGAAAAATCAAACTATGAGAACTAAAAAAACCACTTTAAGTGGTCAGGCAGATGATCAATGCACAAAAATTAATACTGCTCCTTCTCTACATAAAAACAGTAGCTAACTAAAAAATTAACCAACTATTACATATCTAGGAATTAATTTAAAAATCTTTCACTCAAATACTAAAACAACATACAGAAAAGTACACAAATCAGAAGTTTACAGCTTGGAGAATTTTCACCAACTGAACACACCTGTGTAAGCGGCACCCCAAAAGCCCTATTCCTGCCCTTTCTATTGACCAAAGGTCAAATACGATCCTGACATCTAACAACAGATTAGTTCTGTACTTGAACATTTCTATTAAACTTTATATTAACTGTTTTTGAACTTTATATAAAGAAATTCATATAGCATAATATACTTTTGAAAAAAATCAAAAAGGAGGGAGAGAGAAAACAAAAAGGGGACGAGTATGACATGTATTTGTAAGACACTCCTCGCTTTTTCCTTCTAAAAAGGAAACTCTATTTTCATTACTGTAAGTTGTTATCAGTGTTAAGATAATACCTCTCAAAAAAGCCTATTAGCCACAATTCTAAAAGACTTCAAAGAGTCTCAACTTCAGCTCTTCGTCTGTAATTTTTTACAAACTGGAAATGTAATTTCTAGCAATATCTGCATTTCAGAATTTCACAAGAAAAAAACATTTTTGAAATCTTGTATTATTCATTAAGATTTTACTTTCCTTCACAAATTAATTCCAGAGTTATCACAAGAATAATAAGAGAACAGAAGTAGATTTCATAAAAGAAAACGTCCCTTAGACTAGAGCGGTCTTGGCTACAGACGGAGGAGGAGCAGCATCTTGACATTACAAAGGGACAAGAGCATGTAGATCTTTAGTTGCCCACAAAGAATCAAATGAAGTGACTGATACCTTAAGATGTAATATTCCGTCTACATCACAGCTCTGTCTCCCATGCCAAGAATTTTTGGGACAGAGACTGGAAAAGGAAATCACATTCATGAATGATTACTATGTTTCCAATGTGAGGATATCTGATGCTAAACTTCTTAGCAGTTCTAGATACCGCAGCCAGCGCACCAGGTACACTTCAAAATCACCTGCAGCGGTTTGTTGGTTGGTTGTCTAGTTGGATGGTATAAATGCAAGTAACTACTCGCTCCCTCTTGATGTAGATCTACATGTCAGCATCTCTGGAGGTGAAGATTTGATACAAATGCACGTTTTAAGATTTTCCGAAGCAATTCTATGCACAGGCAAACTTGAAAACCACTAATAATAGCAAACAAAACATTTGCCTGACAAAGATCTCATTTTACATTATCACACACCTGGGAGGCAAATTTTATTTTAAGCCACAGAACAGATGCCCATTTGAAAAATCACTGGTCACAATTTAAGTTGGTGGATGAAGCACAGTTCACTTAAGAACAACGAAGTAGGGTTGCCTGGGTGGCTCAGTTGGTTAAGCAGTCAATTTCAGCTCAGGTCATGATCTCGCAGTCTGTGAGGTCTAACCCCATGTTGGGCTCATTGCTGATAGCTCACAGCCTGGAGTCTGCTTCAGATTCTGTGTCTCCCTCTCTCCCTGCCCCTCCCACACTCGTGCTCTGCCTCTCTCAGTCATAAACATTAAAAAAAAAAAAAAAGAACACTGAATAGGAGTCACAAGACCTGTTTGTGATGTCACCTTTGTTACTAACTGTGCAACGCTAGACAAGTTAGCTTTCTATTTCATTCATTTATTAAAAAAATGGAAAAATAATGCTAATTCTACATTCCTCATAAGGTTATTATATCCATAAATGAAAGACTTAGCAGTAAAGCCATCTTAAATATAAGTGAGATGCTAAATTTACCCAGAATCAGTTGATTCCTTACAGTTACTGCCAACTATACTGACAGATTCCAAATGCTAATGGTCTGAATTTGAAAGTGAGCCCTCCCTTTATTCAAGTAAGTAGCGAACTAGCCAACTCCTGTCAGGTGTGAAAAGACTAAAGAAGTTCTGCCTCTATTATTAAAAACTTCTTGGGGCACTCAGGTGGCTCAGTTGCTTAAGCATCTGACTTCAACTCAGGTCATGATCTGTTTATGAGTCTGACCTTCACGTCGGGCTCTGTGAAGAGCCTGGGGCCTGGTTCGGATTCTGTGTCTCCCTCTCTCTCTGCCCCTCCCTTCCTCGTGCTGTCTCTCTCTCAAAAATAAACAAACATTATTAAAAAAAACAACAATGAAAACTTCTTGCCCTTCAACTCTTGAAAACAATTCCCTCCAAGCTGAGTTCTAAACACATCAAGAAGCAACAGAAGTCAGGTACTCAGTTTCTGGAGAACTAATCTGTTTTCTCGCTAAGCAAATATACTGTGAAATACAAACCTCGGCCACGGTACTACGGATACGATCCACCACCTGCTCAAAGTCCACCAGGCTAAAGAGTGGCTGCTGCTTGAGACGATGCAGTTCTGCAGCAAAAGTGTCCTCCTGGTTCTTCAAAATGGATCCTGCAAAATAGGGAAGGTGCTTTAAAGGAAGGCAGAGAGCAGAGAGACAGGCAAGGATTTCCAATCCCAGTCATGTGACTCCTTCACCCGCTTCTCATGTAAGCCTGTCATGATGTGCTGCCAATTCTGTAAACTTTAGCAGCCATTCACTCTGAACAGGCATTTTTTGGGGCCTTCTTTGGGTGAAATGAGAAAGGGTTTTTGAAGACAGGGTACATAGGGCAAGGAGAGTTTTACCTTTCCTAGTCAGGTTTACATTCTGATTCTCAAACATCTGGACAGATTCTCCAACAAACAGGATTTTTTCAGCAACCCTCACTGGAATGTAGGATGGCAAGATCTCCACTCGTAGGGAAAACTGTTTTAGAGACGGTGCCAGCATGTTCTCTTCCTCTATCAGGCGCTACTCCAGGACAGAATCCGTAGCAGACATGATGTATGAAGAGGGGAAAGCAAGAAAACATCACTAACTCTCTCAACCCATGATTTATATTTTCTAGAAGGACTTTAAATCTGAAGTCTGAATGCCTAAATAACCAGTCAAAAGATGTCCACACATCTCCATTTTCAGATAGAAGGAGAGCAAGGTGGAAATCATAAAGGTTTTTTTTGTTTGTTTGTTTTAAATTTAATGTTTTATTTATTTCTAGGAGAGAGAGAGAGAGAGACAGCGTGAGCAGGGGAGGGTCAGACAGAGAGGGAGCCAGTCACAGACTCCGAAACAGGCTCCAGGCTCTGAGCTGGCAGTCAGCACAGAGCCCGACACAGGGCTCGAACCCACGAACCGCGAGATCATGACCTAAGCGAAAGTCTGACTCTTAACCGACTAAGCCACCCAGGCGCCCTTAAAGGTCGTTTTTAACATTAGGACTTTAGTCCTCACTCTGCCTTTACTATGTAAAACCCTGTGCAGTAAGTAGGTCAGGAATTCTGTTTCCCTACCTGTAGCATGGAATCTTTATTTCTTCCAGGTCTAGAGGTCTGTGACTTTATTGTCTTGTACATATGCTTGCTCTACCCAGCTCTTTATTTTTTTAATTTTTAAATATTTATTTATCTTTGACAGAACAGGGCAGGTGGAGAGGCAGAGAGAGAGGAAGACACAGAATCCGAAGCAGGCTCCAGCCTTTGAGCTGTCAGCACAAAGCCCAACATGGGGCTCAAACCCACAAACTGTGAGATCAGACGTTTAAAGGACTGAGGTACCCAGGCGCCCTCAGCTCTTTACTAATACGTAACCCCAGTGATTTAGCCAAGCAGTTCTCCAACTGTGGCTCGTGGTTCAGCAGTATCAGCCATACTTGCAAACTTGTTAGAAATGCAAATTTTCAAGCCCCTCCACAGATCTAGGAAAGTTTGGGGGATGAGGCCTAGACATCAATCAGTGTTTTAATATATTCTCCAGCTGACTCTGACACACAAAGACTTGCTTTGGATTTGATCCTCATCCTCCACCTCGCAGCAGGAACTCTGGGCTCCACAATCCTGACCTTGAGCTCTGCTGTTCGCCCTATCTGGTTGGTGTTCCAGTGCTGGTGGTCCTCGAGGGATTGCCCAGACCCTTTTCCTCTTGTTCTCCTCACTCTCCTTAGACAATCTCATCTTCTTCGGTCACTGAATTCATCATTATAACAGCTGTTTTTAATCTTTTTACATCCTAGGACTCTACATTATAAAAGCTATGGACCTTCCAGATAATTATAGAAACATACATTTCACAGAACCTCCTGAAGCCACCTGTGAGCCCCAGGTTAAAAACACTTCCTGCAAGTACCTCAAACTCAACATGTCCAATATTCAATCCATCCTCTTCCCTCAGTATCTGCCATACACATTTCTTATCATCTCTGCCTGCCTAGCTACTGAAGGCAGAAACTTAGGTGTCATTCTTGACTCTTCTTCTGGACTCCTCTCCAATCACTAAAGTCTACCCATTCCACCTGCTAAATCTCTCTCAATCCTCTCTATTCTTTTCCATATTTGCTGTTACTACCCTTGGTTTAGGCCACTATTATTTTTCACCTAAGTGTCCCCAGCATTCTTCTAACTGACCTACCTGCTGCTAGTCTTGATTCTTTTTTTAATGTTTATTTATTTATTCTGAGAGAGCAAGCGAGCATGAGCAGGGGAGGGACAGAGAGAGAGGGAAAGAGAGAATCCCAAGCAGACTCTGCACTGTCAGAGCAGACCCTGATGTAAGACTTGATTTCATGAACCAGGAGATCATGACCTGAGCCCAGATCAAGGGTCGACCGCTTAATGCTCTGAGCCACCCAGGTGACCCTTGATTTTTTAAAAAACAATTTCCCCACAAAGTGTCCAGAGTCATCTATGGTAAAGTCTGACTGTTAACCTCTTGCCTAAAATTCTTCAACGGCTCCCAGCTCTTCTGAGGTTCAAGTCCAAATCCCTTCCCACTGATTACAAGGGCTTACGTGATCTTACCTCAACATGGTCATCAATTTCCACTTCCTCCCTCCCCTCCACTGTCTCTAGTACTTTGTAGTTCAGCCTTTATTTGACCATTTCAATTGAATTACTACAGGTTCCTCAAATAAGCCAGGTCTTTCATGGTCTCTACTTTTTATACATCCTTCCCTCTGCCTGGAACATTTCTTAACCTCTCCTCCCAAACTCTTTGAAATTTAGACATGCATTCCACTGAAAAGCCTTCTCTAGCTACTCTAAGTTCTGAGAACACCCATACCTGCTCTTTGCAAAGCACTTCATACACTGTAATTCACTGTTTATTTTTCTGGGTCTTCCACTAAATAATAAGCTCCTTAAGCACAGGGTCTGCTACCTTTTATTCATCTACTCAGTTAAACACCCAGTAACTCTCCTAGAACAGTGCCTGGCCTGTAACAGGCATTCAATAAAACGCTGTAGCAGGATAAACGGATGAATAAATAGATTGATGGATGAATAAAGACAATATAGGACTTCTGGGACTCTAATAGAAATTCCAAGCTGCACTTAAAAGCTATAGGGTAACATATGATATTTGTCCTTCTCTGCCTGACTTATTTCGCTCAGCATAACACCCTCAAGGTCCATCCATGTTGCTACACATGGCCAGATTTCATTCTTTCTCATTGCCATGTAGTATTCCATGGTATAGATAAACCACATCTTCTTGATCCATTCATCTGTTGATGGACACTTAGGCTCTTTCCATGTTTTAGCTATTGTGGAGAGTGCTGCTATGAACATTGGGGTACATGTGCTCCTATGCCTCAGCATTTCTGTATCCCTTGGGTAAATTCCTAGCAGTGCTATTGAATGCTGACAAAAACTGAGGACTGATGGATGTGGGGGGGAGGGGGGATGGGCATGGAGGAGGGCACTTTGGGGATGAGCACTGAGTGTTATGTGGAAACTAATTTGACAATAAACTATTTGTAAAAAAAAAAAAAAAAAAAAAGCTATAGGGTAACTACACGACTACCTAAAAGTCTCACTAACCTCATAAATGCATATACAAGGGGACAAGGGGAAACAAAGGAATCTCATAAATATTTTTTCTATTCTGTAGTCTCACATTAAGTTAGGTATGAAGAATGCAGCTAAGATAAAGCCAAGTTCAAGTGTTTATATCTAAAGGATCTGTGAAAGGTGCTTCGACTCGGAGGAGCTGGGGACAGGGGCAGAAATCACTGAACGGTCATCTAGCTGTCTACTCCTTGGGCTCCTGGTAGGGTACACCAGGCACCTTGCTGCGTTCTCACCAAGTCCTGGAGTTCTCTCAGCTGTTTTCCGGTCAGCCCCCCGATGCCCAGATCCTCCTCGTCCTCTTCCGGTGGGGCAGCGACGTTGCCGGAGGACGGACCCTGTTTGATAAAAAACTCTTCGTGCTGGTCCAGGAGGAGTCCATGCAGCATCCAGGCTGAGAGCTGCTTATACATGACCCCATGACACACGGCCAGGATCCTGAGTGGAGAGTAAAGGAGGGGCCTGAGAGAAGCAGACGCTAAAGCGCACATCTGCACAGAGAACGTGCTCTGAACTGCAACAGAACAGAGGTCGGATGACTCAGAAGGGAAATGACCAATTAGGCTAAAAATAATTGTGCTATTTTACCTTAAATGTTTGTGGATGACATAAGCGATTAAATTTCCACACCTGTAGTCTACATGCTGAAGTCTGAACGTTCAGTAAATATTCTGCTGGGTTTTTAGAAGAGGCACATTTTCTTTCCTCCTTTTGTATAAAGGAGTTTCAAAACAGGATTTTTGTTAAAATTAAATGTGCCTATAAGCATCTTTCTGGCTAACATAGTTTTGTTTTATTTTTGTTGGAGTCACATAGGGAGAGTAGATGCACTATGTGAGAGGCAGGTATACCTGAAGAAGTGTAATCCTATAAAATGCAGAAAGGTTGCTGGAGAAAGGGATATTCCCATGGTCTCAAAGGATCATTCCCCAGATAACATCTTAGTTACAAAGAGGAAAATGTGCCTCTATTTTTTAAATTTAAATCTCCATTTTTGAGAGAGAGAAAGAGTGTGAGCGAGAGCATGCAAACAGGGGAGGGACAAAGACAGAAAGAGGGAGACAGAGAATCCAAAGCAGGCTCTGTGCCATCAGCAGAGGGCCTGATGCCGGGCTAGAACTCATGAGCCACGAGATCATGACCTGAGCTGAAGTTGGATGCTTAACTAAATGAGCCACCCAAGCTCCCCGAAAACGTGCCTCTAAACTGGACTGGTCAGGACTCTTAAAATGTCAAGGTCATCAAAGATTTAAAAGGCAAAGAAGGGCACTGTTCCAAATGAAAGAGGACTAAAGAGAGGTGACTGCCAAAAGCCACAGGAGAGGGCAGACTGCATCTGAGAGTACAAAACAGAACAATGATAAAAGACTTTTGGGGGACAACTGGAGACATTTGGATTTATTTTTGGAAAATATATTGTTGAATTAACCTTAACTTTTGGGGGTATGATAGGATATTGAGGTTATATAAGGGAATTTAAATTGTATAAGCCTTTTTTCTAAAGAGATACAAGCTGAAGTATTTATAAGTTAAGCATTGTATCTGCTTTCAAATGATTTAGCAAAAAAATGTGGTGTGCATGGGTGTATGTTTATATATATTTACATATATATGTATTTCATAGTTCATATAGGGGGAAAGAGAAAAATCAAATGTGGCCAAATGTTAACAGCTGGTGAAATACGGTATTTATTATACTGTTCTTTCAAATTTCTGTAGATCTGAAAATTTTCAAAATAACTTGGGGAGAAAAGAAACTATAAGAGCTTGAATCTGCTATTTATAATAAGCTAACTGAATGGAATCTATCACAAAAAAAATCAAATCAGGGTGAGGGGTGCATAGCTGGCTCAGACGGTTAAGCTTCTGACTTTGGCTCAGGTTATGATCTTGTAGTTCGTGGGTTCGAGTCTTACACTGGACTCTGTGCTGAAAGTTCAGAGCCTGGAGCCTGCTTCAGATTCTGTGTCTCCCTCTTTCTCTGCCCCTCCCCTGCTCACACTTGTCTCTTTCCCACTCTCAAATACAAATAAACATTAAGAAAATAGTTAAAAAAATCAAATTGGAGGCCATTTACATTTTGCACATTTGAGTTTTTGGTCTATAAAATTTGGTCCTGCAAATATATAACATGCACTTAATCACAGGATCTATGTAAGATTTTATATTCCATGCATAAAAACTATGTATATTTATAGAGAAACTGTAGAGAATATACAGCAAAAGTTAAATTTGGTATCTCAAAGATTAGAAAATCTATTTCTTCTCTTTGCAGGTCTGGATTTTCTACAATCAAAATGCAATTCTTCTATTAGGAAAAAAAAGGCCCAATAATAGAGAATTAAGTCCCTGAAGCATGTTCTGGCAAGTTTTCTTTTGGAGGTTTCGACAATATTTATATTTACAGTATTTTTCATTTTAATTTTACCTTTATAGAACACCAAGTGAATATACCTTTATTTAGCTTTCTGCTGCTGCTGGTAATTTCCTAATGTCCTGATATAACAGACAACATTGCAGTGAATGTTTCTGCATATGGTTATTTTCTTCTTTTGAAGAGGTGTTAGGATATAATTCCTAAGAATGGCATTATGGAATTATAAAGTATAAACATTTTTAAGGATCTTGATATGGAATGCCAGCTACTCAAAGCACACATTTAGATATAGCTACATTATCTGACACATGTCATGGAAATTCTCCAAGGATAATGATCTCCCCAAATTAAAGAGCACTGCTTCAAGATCATCTAGGTGACTAGATCCTAGCTTTGATCCTCAACACTTCCTAAACATTCTTTTTGCAGTTTCTGAGCCATTGTACATGGGTCTTTTCTATCCTGGTCTTAACTTTTCCCAGAGGGAAACCTGAGATGACCTGAAAATAAAACAAGTGCAATGATCACCCACTCCTGCCCCCAATCCCCATTAAGCCTTAACTTACTTTTCTAGTGCGCTTCGAACAGGGGGTAAACCTCCACAGCTGTGTTTGTATACAGTTTCCAGGATTTGACAACCATGAATCTGTGCAAAATACAACCTTGTCAAACTAGATTCCATTTTAACAGTGCATGTAGGACAAACTCATATTCTATATTCAACCCAGAGAGCACAGTCCAGCAGATAATGAGGCTGAAGATCTACATATAATTCTGACTCTAATTCCAACGTACGCAGGGGTGGTTTTGCCAACACGACAAAGCAATTCTTTAACACCACCTGGGTGTCCTACAGTTCAACTCTATTCTTTTTTTTTTTTTTAATTTAAATGTTTTATTTATTTCTGAGAGAGAGAGAGAAAGAGAGCGAGCAGACAGCATGAGCAGGGGAGGGTCAGAGAGAGAGGGAGACACAGAATCTGAAACAGGCTCCAGGCTCTGAGCTAGCTGTCAGCACAGAGCCCGATGCGGGGCTTGAACCCATGAACCAGGAGATCATGATCTGAGCCGAAGTTGGACGCTTAACCGACTGAACCACCCAGGTGTCCCAGTTCAACTCTATTCTGACACTACCAGAACATCATCAGATTCCACAGGTTAAGGGGGTCAGTTCAACAAGACCTCCCCTCTACTTCTGACACTAATCTCAAGTCCAGGACCGACTGACTGGCTGATAAATCAGAGGTTCCCATGACCTTTTCCTTAGATTCCATTAGTTTGCTAGAGCGGCTCACAGAACTCAGAAAATCTGTTTACTCACTAGATTACCTGTTTATTAAAAAGCATTCTAAAGATATGAATCAACAGCTAGATGAAGAGATGCATACTGTGAGTTTCCGAACAAAGGAGCTTCTGTCCCCGTAGAGCGTGGGCCCAGCATTGCAGCCTCAAGAAGTGTTGTGGTTCACCGACCTACAAGTTCTCTGAGACCAGTCCTTTTGGGTTTTAAGGAGGCCTCATTTCATGGGCACAATTGATTAAATCACTGACTGCTGGTGACTGAACTCAATCCCCAGCCCCTTCTCCAAAGAGGTCAGGGGTATTCTTCCAATCAAATGCTTGGTTCCCCTGGCAACCAGCCAATCCTCAGGTGCTGTCCAAAAATCATTTTATTACCACAGACTCAGGTGTGGCTAATTATGAATACCAAGACACCTTTATCATTCTTATCACTTATGATATTCCAAAGGTTTTAGAAGCTATGTGCCAGAATGGGGATGAAGATGAAATATATATAATCTTTTTTTTTTTTCTTTGAGACAGAGCATGAGCAGGGGAGGGGCAAAGGGAGAGGGAGAATCTCAAAACTGTGAGATGACGACCTGAGTGGAAATCAAGAGTCTGACACTAAACCACTGAGCCACCCGGGTGCCCCTATAAATTTTTATTATAGATCACAGTATCACAACAGCTATTCTCTAAAATACAGACCCTCTTGGGGTGCCTGGGTGGCTTAGTCGGTTAAGCGGCCGACTTTCGCTTAGGTCACGATCTCGCGGTTCGTGGGTTCGAGCCCCGCATCGGGCTCTGTGCTGACTGCCAGCTCAGAGCCTGGAGCGTGTTTCAGTCTGTGACTCCCTCTCTCTCTGACCCTCCCCTGCTCACGCTGTCTCTCTCTCTCTCTCTCCTAGAAATAAATAAAACATTTAAAAAAAAAAATACGGACCCTCCACTCTACTTACTCTTCCCCACCTCATCCATACACCCCCAACAGCAGCAGCACCTGGGAGTTTGTAAGAAATGCAAATTCTTGGGACCAACTCCAGGCTTACTGAATCAGAATCCCCGTGACAGGGCCTTTCCACATGGTTTTAACCATCTATTCCAGATGATTCTAATGTAAAATGAAGTTTGAGAAGTACTGCACTAGAGAAACTAGAATCATTCATAGTTAAAATTCCAAGCTAAGAAGTAAAGAAAGCTCTTTTTTTCAGATTAAGGCTTAATCCACACTATTTAAAAGGTATACAGTTTTCTGAAAAATCTGCTTCTTCTATGTCCTTCTGTCTCTCTATTTTTTTTTTTTTAACGTTTATTTATTTTTGAGACAGAGAGACAAAGCGTGAGCAGAGAAGTGGCAGAAAGACCAGAAGACACAGAATAGAAGCAGGCTCCAGGCTCTGAGCTGTATGTCAGCACAGAGCCTGACGCGGGGCTTGAACTCACAACAGCGAGATCATAACCTCAGCTGAAGTCGGACTTTTAACTGATTGAGCCACCCAGGCTCAATCTCTCTCTTTTTAAAAACTCCATTATTGAGGTATAATTTATATACCATAAAATTCACCCAGAATTAAATGTACTGTTCAACAACTTTTAGTAAATTTAACAGTGTTGTACAATCACCATCATCATCTACTTTTATAACATTTCCATCACTCTAAAAGAATCCCTTGTATCTGTTACCATCCCTGTTCTCACCCTGGTGCAGGTTCTTGACCACCTCACGTTTTAACTCTCTAGAACCAGAGCACACTGGCTTGTCGACCACCACCTTGGCAAGACTGAAGATTTTCCCATCTGCAACACCCCCTACTCAGTTTCTCCTCTCCTTCGTGTGGCCGGTGGAAACTGAAAATCAGCTGAGATGTGTGGCCAAGCATGAAACCCTTACACTACCAGCACTTACCTAGAAGGTCCCCTCCAACTTGTGTGGGACAGTTTAGTAGAGTGGTTAAGAACATAGTCTTTCGAGGCAGACAGAGCCAGGTTTAGATCCCAGCTCTACTATTTCCTACCATCCGTGTGACCCTAAGCACATTCCTTAACTTCCCTGACCCCTTAGAGAACTGAATGTGCTCAAGTACATGAAACACTTAGCACAGTGCCTGGTGTACAGTAAGTGCACAATAAAAGTTGAATGTTAATTGATGAGGGTGATCAGCTTTGAAGGGCCAAACAGCACCTCCCCCACTGGCTTTGCTGGCTCAGAATGAAAGCAGCACACTAAAAATTTCTATACTTATACAGCAAAAAAATGGAGTGGCAACCTGGCAAATTAAGTAGTTAACTAGTTATATTTACCAAGGTGAAGACTCCTAATAAGCTAAGACACAATTACAACAGTTTAAAAACAAAACAGAGTTAAACATATTTAATCCATTTGTCTTTTTTCACCCAATTATGGACTAGCAGATTCTTCTTCTAATGTGAAATCTCAAAGGATTTATCACTCAATTATTACCTCAGCTCAGAAAAGACATTCTCCTAGTACTGGGGACCCTGACTTTTCAGTGCATGTAATAAGAACTTGCGATAATAGGCATATTTAATAAAAGGATCATCCGGGTTTTACCCAATGATCTAATTCTTACAAAAGAATTAGCACCTAACCTAAATCTATTATTCTTTCTAAAGATTAACTTTCTGCTTCTCCTTAAGATCCATATCCAACAATTCCAAATCCTTAATGCAAAATGCTCTCACCTCCAAATATCACCATTAGCATTTTTCTCTTACCTGGCAGCATTCTGGGGTACATATATTAACATCATCCCCATCTTCTGGATCAGGAGGTGTTTAAGGGTGGAGTGATAGCTTATTTTTTGCATTTCTGACAGCATGATACCCAAGCAGACATTGTTAAAAAAAACAACTAATAAATAAAAACTACTAAAGACTATGGTCTTCAAAAAAGAATGTAAGGTGAAATTAATTATGACTATATCCCTGGCACTTCCCACAGCAAAGAAAAAAGTTCTCACCTTTTGACTTTTAATTTGTTCCACCACAACCATGACAGAGGGGAAAAGGAGCTGGAACTGCGAAGTGGAGAATAATTAAAATAATTAGTGAGAACTGACTCAGGAGATTTGCTTTTGTTTCTAAATAGTCCCATGTCACATAATGATGGCAACAACACAGAACAGCCAAGATCCAGTATCCAAAGGCCATCTGATATGAGGGCTGGCTGCAAAGGAAGAATGGCAGATACAAGCAGTTTCTATTTCTGAGGCTAACATAATTGTTGGTATTGAAGTCAACATAGAGCGTTAATATCAGATATTAGATTTTAACTAAATTTGGAGCTTTCCAAACAGCTCTGATCAAGGAAAGCATACAAGATATAAAATGCTTGGTTCTGAATCCAGAAGGAAAAAGTTCTCAAAAATAATGTCTTAAGTTAGATTATTTTTTTTAGGTTTTTATTTATCTATTTCTGAGAGAGAGGGAGAGCAGGGGAGGGGCAGAGAAAGAGGGACAAAGAAAGAAGCCTAAACAGGCTCTGCACTGTCAGCAGAGCCAGATGCGCAGCTCAAATTCACAAACCGTGAGATCATGACCTGAGCCAAAACCAGGAGCCAGACGCTTAACTGACTGAGCCACCCAGGTGCCCCAGGTTAGATTCTTTTTTTAATTCCTCATTTTTTCTTTAAGATTTTTTATGTTAAAGTAATCTCTCCACCCA